CTCATGACTAGGGAGAGGATTTCTATGACATGTTATAGTTTTTCCTGCAACCTACATTTCAACGTATAAGTGGGTTTGGACATGTTTATGAGCAATCTGGTGAGAAAGTTTGCTTGTGTGTTCAAGTACCGGTTGCAGAGAAAGTATGATACGTCATAGAAATCCTCCTCTTACTCTTGATTATGGAACGTGCTCCAAAAAAAAAACAGAAAGAAAATAAAATAAAAAAAGGAAAGAAATTAAAAACAAACAAATTCCACCAGTATTTAAGAGTTTCATTTTAAGCTGCATCTCCATTATTGGAAGGTTCTGCCTGTGAAATCTCCTATGTCCCCAGGGCATATTTCAAGTAACTTCTGCATAAACCAAGAAAGACAATTAAATCTCTTCTTACTGAAAAATACCCATCCCAGGTGCCAAGAAGTTGCACAATGCCAAGAATTGCAGAGAGTGCCATCACACTTTAATTTAAGCAAAACTTTCCTAATAGCTCTTTTGCTTCTTTTTCTGACCCTGTTCCAAATGTCGCATGGCAAGATTACACAGCAGCTGCGTGATACTCACCAAGCCCTTTAACTAATGCTGAAAGACAACATTCAACCCTGTCTGAACACACAGTACAACAAATGAAAAATAGGTAGGTGTCATAAGACAACATCTGCATCTGTCCGAAAAATGATACTGAGAGAGAGAGAGAGAGCAAGAAAACCACAGATTTGTCTCTTATAGATAATTATACATATTTGTGTCTTAAAAACAGAATTGGTTGTGCTTTTTCATCATTAAGGAGGCTTGCTGGTCCAGCCATTTTCATCCCCTGGTGTGTCCACCGACATTATTCTGCTCATTTTTATGACTTCCCAGCTTTCCGTTTCAACACGTTGAAACTGTCTTGTCAAGAGTGGAGGGGAGTGCATTTAACAAGGCTCCCAAATGCTAAATTGTCATTATAATGTAATACAGTGGTGCCTCGCGGGACGAAAAACCCGCAAGATGATTGTTTTTTGTGATCACTATGGTGCCTCGCAAGACATTTTTTTTCTATGACCGTGCTTCGCAAGACTTTTTTTTTTGAGACCGATGCTTCGCAAGACTTTTTTTTTAGACCGATGCTTCGCAAGACTTTTTTTTTTGAGACCGATGCATAGGGAACCTCGCAAGACGATTTTTTCACAAGACGACGATTTTTGCGGAACGAATTAAAATCGTCTTGCGAAGCACCACTGTACTGAGCTGGATTTGGTTTGACAGTTGCTGTGCTGTCACTGAACATGCACCAAAATAAAATCAAAATACTGCAATTCTACACCACTGTACTGAGCTGGATTTGGGTTGACAGTTGCTGTGCTGTCACTGAACACGCACAGGTATCCATTTGGCTCCTTTCACTGAACCAAAATAAAATCAAAATACTGCAATTCTGGCCCGTTTTTTCCTTTCAGATTTTCAAACGCAGTTCTGCCAAGGCGGATTGACTTTCTGGGGTCAGAAACCAACTCAAGAGTACAGAGATCAAACCAACACAGTACACAGCCAACCACTCACCACAAGTTCACTGAACATAACATCCAACTCTTCCACCAGTGGCATCGGCAGAGACGGCTCCATGGTTTGTAGGGCAAAGCTGCTGTCATTCCGCAACCGATACGTGATCTCCGGGTGCTCATTACTTCGGAAGCAACAGAAGATGAACGAAATCCCTCGCCCGCTCCTTTTCCTTGGGGCCATGGCTGAAACCCTTAAGGTTTTCCTTTCTGGATGCTAAATTCTGAAAGAACAAGGGGTACGGATTAAAAATTTGCCTCCTATTTGCATACCAACAGGACTACAAATATAGAGTGTTGTATAGGTTCAATCCTGTTAAGGAGAAAGGCAGGATAAAAATATTTTTAACAATAATAATTATAATACAGTGGTGCCTCGCATAGCGAGGTTAATCTGTTCCGGATTAACCTTCGCTATAGCGAAACATCGCTGAACGGGACAGGGAAAGCCATTGGAACGTAAAGGCTCCTTTACTCACCGTTCAGCGAAGTTTCCTATGGCCGGTAGCCATTTTCGCACCCTTGTTAAGCGAGGGGAGGGCGCGAAAACGCTGCGCGTGGCCATTTTGGGGCTTCCGGCGGCCATTTTGTCCGCCGAACAGCTGATCGTCGGGGCTTCGTTTTGCAAAGATCGGTAAGCGAAACGCTTACCGATCTTCGCAAAGCGAGTTTCGCCCTATCTAAAGCTCGTTCAGCGATCGCATTAGCGATCCCAAAAAAGGGATCGCTATGCGATTTCGTCGTTGTACGGTGCGCTCGTTAAGCAATGCACCACTGTATTGTTGTTTTTTTGTAGCTCTTGATGTTATTTCTGAAATTTCCAACTGCTATAAATACGGTGTGAAAGTTCTTGATATTGTTCCCAAAGCCCTGATGACGATGGGGACCACTGAAACATATCACCGTTGGCCCCATCGTCACCTGGGCTTTGAGAAGAATATCAAGGAATTTCACACCGTATTTTTAGCTGTTGCAGATGTTGGAACGAACATCATCAGAGCTACGAAAAAAGGGCATTATTAGGAACAGCATATGTACGTACAGTACTACAACGATATTTAACAGATAGTTAGGTTTTTGGTTAAAACTTGTATCTGTTATATACGTAAAAAGTCAATGTTTTTTTATAATTTTGATCGACTCTGCCTGGTGTTTTTGAACAACATCCCACCAAGTCTATGAAACAGCTCAAATCTCACTGCAACAGAAACAAAAAAAGCCACACACACCCCCGGGAAGGGCATTTATAACTTTAAGTCTTTCTACTATTATATTTATCACTTATGGTGGCTTTTAAAGGCATAATCAATCACAGCAGTCTTGTTGCGTGTAAAGATAAAGAAAGACAAAGACTAACTGCATTAATGGCTGGAAATAGTGTGCTTTTTGCACTGAGAATAAATGTTATTGTTATTTATTGATTGGTTTTCCCAGGGACTTCTCATGATGTGCTCAGAGTACGATAGGCTCCATTTGGTCATTCTTATTCTTATTCTTATTTTTATTTATTTATTTTTTTTGCTTTAAATGAGATTTGGACCACACAGACTTCTCAACAGATGATATATTCAAAATGAGGATTGTTTTCCTATAGGTCTTCAAATGGAATACTGTCTTCCCTACTGTCTTCCCTGTTTGCTTAACGATGTCCACCTTATTTACATGACATTGCAATGACAGTCCAGAGTGGACCCATGTAATCAGAATTTGGAAATAACTGCATTAATGGCTGGAAATAGTGTGCTTTTTGCACTGAGAATAAATGTTATTGTTATTTATTGATTGGTTTTCCCAGGGACTTCTCATGATGTGCTCAGAGTACGATAGGCTCCATTTGGTCATTCTTATTCTTATTCTTATTTTTATTTATTTATTTTTTTTGCTTTAAATGAGATTTGGACCACACAGACTTCTCAACAGATGATATATTCAAAATGAGGATTGTTTTCCTACAGGTCTTCAAATGGAATACTGTCTTCCCTACTGTCTTCCCTGAAAATGGATACATGTCCACCTTATTTACATGACATTGCAATGACAGTCCAGAGTGGACCCATGTAATCAGAATTTGGAAATGCCATTTTCGCTGCCCGGTAAGCGAAGGCAAGGTGCAAAAACCACAGTGTCTTCTACGACTTTTTGAAATGCCCATTTTGCTTCCAAGGAACCAGCATATCTTTAATTTATTACAAGCTGTCTGGAAAGTGAGCAGGGGACGTTGCTGGCATATTAGCCCTGCTAGTTGTCTCCCTGTTAACATGTTCTAAAAACCACAGTGTCTTCTATGACTTTTTGAAATGCCCATTTTGCTTCCAAGGAACGTTCTCCCTCGTGGAAGCAAAAAAAAAATGTTGAGTTAAAAAGGACGGCATTGCCTTCATTGGCTCCTCCTCCTCTAAGTTCTTCTGCCAGTTGGTCTTCATGGTTGATTCAAGAAAACCACAAAGTGGTAGTTACTTTTCAGCAAGCTCCTTTTCCCTATATACACCACTCCCTGTTTGCTCAATCATTAAAGGCAGCAGAAACTGTGGGGCAGTAGTGGGGGGGAGGGACACACAATAATGCAATAACATTGAGTTTAACAGAGCGAATCTATTTAAAAAAACACACTGAAAAGCTCAGCTTCTTAATGCCAACAGATTTGTATCTGAAAACATAGGAACAGGCCAGAGAACAACAGAAACTTGGAGATAGACAGAGTTTGAATGTCTTGCTACAATGACTATATGGCCTTGTCCTACCTCCAACTAGCAGCAAGAGAATTTGAACAAATACAGTGGTGCTTTGCTTAACGGCGATAATCCGTTCCAGGAAAATCGCTGTTAAGTGAAAACATCATAAAGCGAAAATAAAAACCCCATTGAAACGCATTGAAACCTGTTCAATGCGTTCCAATGGGGGAAAAACTCACTGTCCAGCAAAGATCCTCCATAAGGCGGCCATTTTTGCTGCCTGTATAGCGAGGAATCCATCCCTAAACACAGCGGGGAGCCATTTTAATTACCCGGCAGCCATTTTGAAACTGCTGATCAGCTGTTACAAAAACGTCAGAATCGGTTCCCGAAGCAGGGAAACGATCATCGCAAAGTGAAATTCCCCCATTTAGACCATTGTCGTAAGATCGTCGTAAAGTGGATTTGTCGTAATGCGGGGCAATCATAAAGCAAGGCACCACTGTATAGGAATACATTTTCCAGGCCCTGGATTCGGAACAAACAAATTTGAATACAATTTTATGAAGCATGCATAGGTTAAAAAATGAAATTTGCCAGCACAATATACTTCTCCCTTGAACAGCATTAGTGGGGGGTCAGGGAACCCAGGCCCCTGTGTAGTTCAAAATCTGTGCATAACTCTTATGTCCCCAAATCATAACTACAAAGCACAAACAGCTGATTCTCTCTCTCAGGATTCTCTTCCATAGTACTGACAATCTTTTCCACACAGTATTATGTGTAATGAGTCTTAAATGTCTTTATGAGTTCTTGATCTAGAGGCTGAACAAGAGACGTTGTATGTATAGGCAAGTAGACCACTTTGGGTGGGATGTGGTGGCACTGTGGGTTAAACCGCAGAAGCCTCTGTGCTGCAAGGTCAGAAGACCAGCCGTCGTAAGTTTGTATCCACGCGACGGAGGGAGCTCTCGTCGCTTTGTCCCAGCTCCTGCCAACCTAGCCTTTTGAAAGTGTGTAAAAATGCGAGACGATAAATAGGTCTAGTCACGCTGGCCACGTGACCACGGAAACTGTCTACGGAAAAACGCTGGCTCTGTGGCTTGGAGACGGGGATGAGCACCGTCCCCTAGAGCCGGACACGACTGGACTAAATGTCAAAGGGAACCTTTACCTTTAGACCACTTTGGCGTCTTTGGTATTGAACTCATGGCATTTTGAGTGGCTGTATATAACCAAATCTGTATATAACGAAAACCGTATTGCTCAGACCCGTGCAAATCAAGAGAGAAATGTATGTGATAGCAACTACCAAGGTGGGTTTCTTCTAAATGAAACCAGACAAACTTCTGCAAGATACAGCATCAACAGTTCCACATCAAGATGGTTGCATATATAACTGCAAAGTTATAACTATGGAAACCTCCAGTGTCAGAGGTGGTATGTTGATCAATATCAAGCATACTGAGTATCAACCTGAAGGCAACTACTGTACTCATGTCCCTTCACAGGCTCACCTGTGTTCGGAAGTAATGCCATCCCTCCCAGAAAAAGGCAGAATTTTGTGCCTACCAACATCCATCTGCAGAATTCTCTCCCAATGTTCCATGAGAAACTTTGGAAGTAATGCCCTCCCCACAGAAAAAAACAAAAAAACAAAACAAAACAAAAAATGTTCCATGAGAAACTTTGGATGTAATGCCCTCCCCACAGAAAAACACACACACACAAAAAAAACCCCTTCAACATAGGAATGTTCTCAATAATATTTCGGGACTGATGTTTATACAGAAAACATTAGGCCCCACAGAACTGCTCAAACCAAAACTTGGAATAGATTAATCTATCACAGATCCCCAATATACATGACATCCATCTTGCCATGTCTGAACACTCTAAGCGTGTTGACACAGATTCTCACAGGCATGCTAAAGATATGGTCCATCACACTAGTAACTGAACTGACACACAATGGAGAATGTACAGAGCACTTACACAAGTTATTTTATCAACAGCAAAGATGGCACTGGGCTTTATACCCTTGCAACCCAGTTGTTCTTTCATGCTTATATTTTGAGACTGGAACCACATTACCAGCCATCCACAGAGGCCACACTTAGAGTTTCTCAAAAGCCTTGCATACATCAGGACGGGCCATCTGCAATCCTTCACAGCTGCTTCATGGGACCACGGCTCCCATCATTCTCCAGGCAGTGTGGCTGGAAGTCAAGGTGGCTGCCTAATTCTTGGAGGGGGGAAGTGGGGAAGACATTCTGTCTGCTTCCCTCAGAGATTCTTCGTTAACCCATACATGGTAGAGGATGTGCTGCTCGTGGGAGCTTTGAAACTGAAGTCCCCAAAGAGTAACTTTTCAAATGTCTGTTCTTATGTCCCTCCTTGTGTTGTCCCCAAAGCTGGAGGGACCTGCCTGTGGAGGGAGATGAATATGTAATATTGCATGCATGTTGGGTAGAGAGACAGGTGCGCGCGCACACCCAACGATGCCGGAAGTGGCGTTGAGGGATTGTAGCCCTCATCTGCATTGTCTTGTT